AAACAAACAAAATATGAAATATGACATCTTGAGAAAACAATAGCCTCAAATCAATAGAAAGGAAAAAGCATATCTTTGCAAATTCTGAAGGACTTGAAAACATGCTCAAAAGATGCTAAAAGATATAACGTGATAAATTGTTCATTAACAAAAGAAGAACAGTTAGCAACAAAGATCTTTCAAGGATTTAACTTCAACAATGTGAAACAAGACCAATATGCACGTGTGCACATTAAATGTGGGTCTTGTAATCTGATTATCAGACATCCATGAATATTCCCAAAGACAAGAAGCAAATCCTTCAATTTGTCAAAAATATCGATAGAAAGGAATGATGAACACTAACACAACTTAGTACTGTATATCTCATCCTAAGCAAATGAATCATGCAAATACTCTTCAACATGAAGCGACCATAATCAATAGATAGTCATTTGCTAGAACGTATAATTGCATCCAGAGACTAAAACAAGACTAGGGAAATTGTCTAAAGGAAGTTATCAAATCTTTGAATCAGGAGCATCGACGCAAACACAACAACAGAACATTTTCCATAGGATATTGACAGTGCAAGGATACGTTTGATCAAACTAAATTTGAAAAAACCATGAGCTTAGCCTTACTCTTTTTTATACCATCTCGGTTGGTATAAATGTTATGACGTTGGGAACGCTGACCACAGCAGTCCCTTGAACAAAATGCTTATTCCCACATCTTTGCGTGCCACTCACTTGACTATTATTGAACACAATTATATGTTTCATTTTACCCCTTGGCTAACTTTTACAGGTTTTTGTATCTTTTTATTTATTCGTTAGTTACTAAATGCATACATATACATATTTAGTTGCCAAATAATTGTTTACTTATTTTTTTTCCTCATATTCTTGAACCTCCATGGTCCCCTGATTGTCCCAAACACGTATGATTAAAAAAAATATAGGACAGTCCAAATTTGCATAACAGAACACGAAACTATACTAAAGAAAATGGCAAAACTACCAAAATGCGCTTTTGGGGTACAGACAAGGACGGAGGATACATTATACATTAATATAGTTAACAATTGTATGGCAAAGAGTAAGGAAGAGTCACAAATACGAAAGCAAAAAATCAACCAATGCCATTAGTTTCCTAAGAACTTAATGATCAAATGCTTAAGATTAACTGCGATGTCTATTATAAAAGAAGAAAACACACACACGATGTCTCCCATGATATTAGTTCCCATTGTCAATGAAATGCCTATATTACAAGAACTCCTACACAACAATGTTAAACCGTCCGTGCAATATTCTTGACAAAACAAAGCTCACCTTTTTCTTCTTGACGGGTTTAAGAATCTTAATGACACATTTTTCATTGTCAGTGCAATGAACACCCTCGAACACCTCACTGTATTTCCCCCTCCCCACCTTCCTCACGACCTCATAATTATCTTGGTCCCTGTAAAATGAACATAATATCATCCAGAGACGGACAACAAAGAAGCCAAGAACATTAGTTACATCCAATTGCACAACTTCTTTTACGAAATGAAATTCATAACCCATCCCAAGATTAGAAAGCTCCAAAATGAAAGGAACCATATTCGTATAAGCTCATGCAAGTACGCGTGTGTGGAGTAGTGAACCAAGTCTCCATAGACTTTTATATTGCGACAAGGACTTTCAAAGATACAAGGTCTTCCAATACAAACCAATCCAGGCCAATTTCTACCCCTGCTCCTTCAGCCAATCAAACTAAATTGGACAAAAAGCTATCCCTAATATAAAAATAAAATAAAATGCATCGGAGGAGGAAAAAAGAAGTTACCCCCACTGTACGGTGAGCGACTCATAGTCCCAGTACTCCTTAGGTCGGATCACGTTAACGTCGGCATAAACCCTAGCCTTCGAAGGAGCGCCAGGGCGGCGAATCGACTTCCCGATCTTCTGCGCCAGGGTTTCTTGCGGGGATAATGGACGCAGACGCGGCTTTGTTCTGTACGGCGGTTGAGGCGGCGGATGTTGTTGTTGGGAACGAGACAAAGAGGTCGCCGACGAAGCAATCCGGCGGAAGATGAGGGAGATTGAAGACGCCGATTGGCGGAGAGAGAAGGCGGATAAGAGAGGAGGAGAGAAAATGGAAGAAAGATGGGTATGGTGATTGGGAGAAACTTTGAAATTGAACGGCCTTATGGCCATCAAAACGCTGATTGAAACCAAAAAGGTACCGGCATCGATGTTTCGACTCAAATACCCTTTTCTCCTTCCTCTTTATCTTTCTCCTTTTTTTTTTTTTTCTCTCTTTTTTTTTCATTTCAAGAAATATCTCTCGTATACCTATTTCTATTGACAGTAACATTAGTTCCACAGAATCAGGGTCTTCTTTTTTATATAGAAAAGATGTCCATTTTTACCTCTTAATTGACATGGACTTAATCAAGTTTAACTTAATGTTTACCTTTTAATACACTTTTATTTGAAAAAAAATTGCCGATTAAGATGTATTATAGGTGTATTATGAATACATAGCATGTAATTACGAAATTAATGAAGAACATATATGAAATTAATGGAGCTGGGCCCAATGTTTACAGGCCCTATAAGGAACGTGGAAGCCCAAAGATAATAAGGACGCACGTGAACCACGGGCCGACAGATAGTTAGAAATGGGGGATTTTTGTGGTCGAAAGTAACGGCCTTCCTAAAGCAGACTCAGGCACTGGCTCTGGTTCTGAGCGGATAAAAGTGCTTGTCCATGCGCGCTGAAAGTGACACGGCGCGGGAATCTTCGAAACGGGGAAGGGGGAGAAAATTACGCAAACAGCAGCTGCAGCCCACACTCTTACGGATCAAACACAGCCGCCATGGACGATGTTAGGGCAACCTCTGCTTGGGTTGCTAGCCACTCCTCCCACGTCCTTGTCGACTCTTCAGGTTCAGTCCTTCGCCGTGTGTGTTTTGTGTTTTGTGTTCGATAATGGCGATGGTGAATGCGGTTGTTTGGTTTTTGTTTTGATACTGTAGGGATTGAGAAAGTGGTGGATACTATAGAGTCGATTCCGAAAGTTGATTGGGATTTTGAAGGGATTCACTATTTTGATAATGGTCCGTTAACCGTCCAGTACTTGTTCGTCTTGGACGCCTTGAATTTCTGTTTCTGGCCTGGTAAAATTCAACACTCCTTTTTTTATTTGTCTTATTTGGTTATTGTTTTATTTTTCATCAATCAGTTAGGAATTAAATGTTTCCTCTACGCTTGTTAATTCGATATGGAACGCCCCTGCATGTTGAATGTCCTGATTGCAAGAGGCTCGACATCTTATGAACAAGAAATCTTTGAATTGAGCCTCGTGTTGTACCAAACTCAATATCATGCTCTACTCGCTCCAGATATTCTAGATAGCATTGGAACTCAAAGCCAATGATCAACGAGCGATTAGCACAATTAGAACGCCAGAGAAGCTTGTTAATCTTCCAGTGTTGATGTATGCCTAGAGAAACAATTTTAGCTTATAACCATTATAAATAGAGAAACAATAAGGTCAAAATGATTTCAAAGGTATGATTGAACAGATTCAAATTCTAATGATGAAATAGAATTTAAACTCGAGAGACAGTGTCCATCTCAGTTTGACATTTGTGGAGATCATATAAGTAGGTTATATCATTCTACATTTAAATGCAATATTATAATCTACAGAGGCAATTTATACCCATTATTAGCATCAAAGACATATTTTGCTTCAATAACAATTATTTTCTTCCTCTCGGATTCAGATAAGGACTTGAGCTATGATCACTTGGCCTCTGGACTGAAGGCTGCTCTTCAAAATGACAAGTCAGCATTTGATGCTGATCGCCTGCAAAAGTACACTGGTAAGTGACAAATGATATCATCTTAACCTTATAATCTTATTTCATTGATTATTTTATCAATGTGATGGCTGTATGTGATCAGGCCCTCAATTGCGTGAAATGTTGAAATGGCCTAGACCACTTCCTTTGGAGGATGAACGGGTTCGCTTGCTGCATGAGGTGAGAAAAATTTCCATTAGTAGATTCTAGTATATGTGTACTCTTTTGATATGGACCGTATTCTTCTGACTTGCAATTACTTCTCCTTGTAAGGAAATATATTTGTGAGATCATTCTATTTCATGTGTTAGGTTGGATTCGAACTAGAGAGAAGCTTCGAAGGTAAGGCTTCTAATATAGTGGAGTCCTGTGGGAAATCAGCTGTGAAGCTTGTTGCTGCTATCACACGATACTTTCCTGGTATCAACTCTTGTATCAGTCTAGGAAATATGTTAGTATCATACGTAGGTGCGTATGTTAAGAAGAATCTTTTGAGATGGTTGTATGACATGTTCATCATCTCCTTACATTAGGCTTTCGAGACCACTCTCTCTACAAAGGCCACCAGGTATTCCTATACAAACGAGCTCAAATACTTGCTGCTGACCTTTGGGGTGCATTCCGTGGCAAAGGATACGGAGAGTTCAATGACATTGGTTCAATCACCATTATGGCTGACTACATCGTTCCTGCAGTACTTCGACAGCTTGGGGTGCTAAAATATAGTTCTACACTCGCTAACATCATCGATGCTAACAATGAAATTGGTTCAGGCAGCGAGGAGGAAGTAGAACTCCGGGCTTGCTCGATATATGCAGTTGAGAAAATGAGAGAATTGATCAGTCAGAAATCAGGAAAACAGGTATTCCAAAATTACAATCTCTAGACAAATTTCGATCCATATATGTACTTCATTATCCTAGCATCTGATTGTGTTCAAAAGAACGCCAGAAAGTATATCTGCTGATGCTTTGGTTTCTCAAAATATGGAGTTGAAAGATTTGGTTTTTGCAGGTTCTAAGCGTGGAGTTAGATCTTTGGCTTTGGTCCTTTGGAATCCAGTTCCCATCTCTGCCTCACCATCGTACTCTTTCAATCTACTACTGATACCAATCCAATATTTGATATGATAGCCTTCTGTAATGCTCTAGCCAGTTAGAGAATGGCAGAATTCTGGCAGAAAAAGCTCGGGGTAATTTCTCGAGATCTATGATAGTTGGCGTCTATTTTAGGAACCCTGAAGTTTAGTAGCAAAGGACAGAATATAAAAGTTAAAGACTTAGTATATCTATTACGTCAGTACTATTACAGACAGTCAAAACGATAAATAATTTATTATAACAGTAATGGTTTATTCAGACCAAGAAGAAGCTGAAAGGATCCACCATGTTTTAAGATGTGGCGCTGGGGTTCTTGGTGATGGGCAAATTCCCATCATAGCTGCATTTCAGGACGTCTGGCCTTTTTAGTACACGAGGTCCAACTGGAACTTTGCTCGCCTTCGGGCGAATGTCCTGCTCATTCACAGATTTTGTTTTGCATTCATATCCAACATTTTTTCTTTAAAAGAAATTTAGCATTTGAACTGAGATAGTACTGATTTTCTCTCCATTTAAAACGCATAATGTATGAATTTGTGTGATAGAAAAAACTTGTTAATTGACCTAAGATATTGTCGACGTTTTAAAACTTTTTTAGGACTCGACTCTCATGCCTTCTCGTGTGCTTTTTTTTTTTTTTTTTAACCATATGTACGTTTCAATATTCTCATGCAATATTCAATTGTTTCGAATCTTAACTTTTGGTATATGTTTTTTTTTTTAAATAATAAAATTTAAATGTTTATGAAATAGTGGGTTGTTAAAATGTAATTTTTTTTCAAGAAAAAAAGAAACCAAATGTTTTTAAGGAAAAAGAGTAACTCGGTTTGGGCTGGGGAGTGTCGGTCCAAGTTAGAGTGGATTAACAATTAGTAGAGCGGGTGAATGGATCGATCCAGTTGAAGGAAGGTACCTGGTCGAAAATGGCGGTGGGGATTGCCAGGGTAGCCATAGCATTAGGCGCATCCACAATCCCGGAGATCCTTCCTTCGCATGGGCAGCACGACAGCAGCAGGTAAGCCTGAAATCACACATCTTATCATATTCAATTCAATAATAGTATTGCACTGCAATTGGTTTTTAGTTTTTGTGTGCATATCAGGTGTTTGTGATATTGTTCGTGTGAGGTCTGGAACTGGAGAGCTCGCAATGGCAATATATTTTGTAGAAGGGAACTGTGAAGAATGTTATTGGACCTGTTCCTTTGAGTACCCAAATTTGTGGAGGTAGTCGATGGCGTTGAGAACAGCGCGCTTGTAAGCTACACTCGCGTCAAGAAAATGTTGCCTCCCACTTTCATCAACGCTGATGCCTTCAAATACGAGCCACTCTGAGAATCTTGGTTCAACTGGACCTATCTCAAAGATTGGGTTCACGTGCAGAGGAGTCGGCCCCATGGGTGTGAGGTACTCTTTCATTCCGCCCCTTATAATATCACACCTGAAGGAGAAGATAACAACTAATATTTATAAATGTCTGTATGGACCGACTGATTCTTTGTTTTTAAAATTCTGCTACTAAAGATCTTAAGAGATTGAGAAGCCATGCTGAGAAATTTACTTAAGCTCTAGAAAACCGCTCATTTCAATTGCTCCACAGAATGAAACTTCACCATCCCCCTGAGAGAAGTGCATGTCACCTGAGCTCAAGTTTGCCCCTTCCACAAATACTGGAAGGTAGACCTTTGAACCTCTGCTGAGGTTTTTGATGTCACAGTTTCCACCATTTTCTCTTCCTGGAATTGTTCTTGCAGCCTCATTGGCAATTCTTTCCCATTCTTCTGTGCCTTCTTTGATCTAGTTTGAAGCAATGGAGCAAGGGATGTTGGAATAGGGGAAAAATCAGTATGCCCATTATTTTTCTTGTAGAATTTGGAATTACTCGTTTTATGAATCGATGAATGATGGAACTTCACTATCTTACCTTTCCAAGAACGCAGCCTTTTGCTGATGGTAGGTTGGCCAATGGCCGTGAATGCAAAACCTCACAAAGCTTTAAAGTCTGAAGGCCATTTTCTTGAACGTGACTTTCCCTTTCATTCCAAATGTTCAGAAGTTCTGCAGATGGTGCAGTTCCTATAACTCCAGGATGAGTTAGACCTGGGAATCGAACCCCTGGAAGGCGTATATGGTTTAAGGTACCTATGCTACCAATTCCTATTGAAAGCTTTGTTTCAGATTGGAACGTTTACCTGGGATTTGAGGAGAGTATGCGTATATTCCTTCAAAATACCAAATAGCTTTGGTTGCACAAGGAAAATGGTCAGTAAGAAAACCACCTCCATTTTCTCTGTCAAATGTTGCAGTATAGCCCCATTCATCTCCTGGGAGAGGGCCTAAGTTGCAGATCTCAACTACAAGTAGATCCCCTGGCATGGCCGGAACCCCATCCTTGTCCACAACTCTAATTGGGCCACTCAGATAATGAGTCTACACATTAGTGAAAAACATAACAGCCAATTATTAACACTCAAATCTCTCTTCTTTGGAGCTTACTGTTAATTCAAGCATCAGATTCTAAAAGCTTTACCAAACGTCAGGCTAGGCTGTTTAAAGGCTCAAAAGAGCAACAGTTAGTGAAATTTTGGATAAGGTTAGTATTTATTTATACTTACAATTGAAAGGTCAATAAACTGGACATCAGTGGCAGAGTGGTTATCTCCAATAACTCCTCCAGTCCAGTCCACCATCTCAACCCTAAAGACCTCATCCGTGTGAACCTCAGCAACTGGGGGGATAAGTGGGTGCCACCGGTTGTGAAGAGGTAAACTTTGATCCCATGCCTTTTTTTTCAAGTCTATCGGAACAACTAGTCTTGGAGTAGAAGGAGCCATGAATTATGACTACAAGTACACAGAAACTTAGGAAACTGAGTTTGTTCTGCTAGGTTCTTTTATTCCCCAGTCTCCTCTAATCGAAGTAGCAACCGTTGAAAAGTACACAAAAAGATAAAAAGATAAGACAAAGGACAAGAAACTAATTTGTCTTTCTTGCCCATTAAGGACGCAATTTCCAAACCGAAGGCTAAGTTGAAAATATCGCTCCTTTATTGTGTTCTGTCAACTGGGTCTGGTGTGAATTTTTCCAATACAAAACTCAGGGACGAGTCAAAGATGTGTGTGTGTAAGAGAGAGGACTTACACAGGAATTGTCAGCATGTTTAACGTCTTCAGCAGAGTAGTCTTTGGTGATTGCTCCGCCACTAAAATCCACCATTTCGACTTTGAAGAGCTCATCCACCTTGACTTCCGCCACCGGCGGTATCTCCGGGTGCCACCGGTTGTGAAGTGGAAGTTTCTGTTGCCATGGGTTCTTCTTCACATCTACAGACACCACTAGCCTTGGACCATAATCACCCATATCCTTCTTCTTCCTCCTCGTTCTTCTTTAGGCAGTTGAATTACAAGGTAATGGAGCTTTTGAATCTCGGAATGAGACAACATGGATTGATCATTATCTTTTCCTTGGTTCGACGTGGACCGCTCACGGCTTGCGTCTCTCTGTTTTTATCTTTTATATCGTGTCTGTCTATTAGTAAAGATGTGGAATATTCTACGTGAAAACGACTTTTTGTAACATAAAAGAGTTAATTAGAAAATAATAATTTTCAGTTTTTATTTTTAATACATTTTTAAAACATGACATTATGATTCTTGCAGTGACTTTTGTTCCCATTGCATATTCATTTCTTTCTACTTCCTTTTACTTTGCTGCCCAAATTATATTTAATTGTTTATTGATCTAAGTATGTTACAACATACTAATACAAATAGTCCTAAAGGAAGTGATGACAGGTCGAGATTATTAAGCATAATTCCGTGAGCTAATGAATTGCATTACAGAGCTAAGCAAGAGGTGAGAAATGCAATTCAACTACTTCACTCAATTGAGAAACAACGAAAGAGGCATGTTGGTAGGAAGATCGTCTTGTCTTAGTCAAAGACTTGGGTGGGTGAAAGAGTTAGGTGGGTGAAAGAGTTAGGCTTAAAGTCTTGTTTGTGATAACTTTCATTAAGAAAAGGACAGAACAAAATGGCAATCAACGGGGGTGGAAGCTGCCACCTTGGTCGAAAATAGAAAACAACAATCCTAAGTTTGGCTTATAATTTGTGAACAAGCTTATCTAGCCAACTCATAATTTGAGAACAAGCTTATCTAGCCAACTCATTGGCTGCTCCATTGGAAGCTGGAATTTCCCTTCCTAGGGATCCATAGGGTCCCTCATCACCTCCCAACGCAAAGCTATTGCCGATCTGGTCTTTAGAAGATGAGTTGTTCTTTAACCACTCAAGATTACTGCTAATAGATAGTCTTCTATGGGCAAATTGGGAGAGGTTTCCACACTCCTATAAAGAAAGTTTAGTTCCCCCTCCAACTAATGTGAGATCTCACATATTCCTCTCTGTTGCCATTCTTGTAATATCTTCCCCTCAACCCACCTTCGACCAAGTTGGTGGGATGTTTTATTAATCTCCAGCATTGTTTTGCCAACATTGCTTGGCTGAAAATACAAAGAACTGTGAAACCCGTTTAGATTTGGTCTTTGCTAATTCATAGTCTCTTCAAGTTTTGCTGATGGATCTTCTTGCCATTGTTAGAAGCCCTTCATCATTATCGAGCACATGAAGAATTAAAATCATGACAAAATGTGGGTGAAATTGTTCGAAAGGATATTATTTTTTGCTGAAAATAGTTTTAAATTTGTTTATGAGGATTTAGTAGATTTTAGTTGATTATTTACACGTAAATTTAAAATTACTTTATTCTAAAAAAATTAGAATATTACTCTGGACTCTAGAACCTGTAACCTATATAAGTAGGACTCTTGGTCCACTAGAGTTGTCACCCACAATAAAAGTTAAAGTCTTTATTAGTTGGAATCTTTCTTTTAAACTCCTTTTATCTTATCCTTTTTCCTTTTTCCATTTTCTTCAACAACTTAGGTATGAGGAAAAAATGAGTCATGTTTTTTTCAAGTTTGTGCCCACTTGTCCGAACTCCTTTTCGTAGAGTCGTATTGAAGAAGGAATAAATTATTTGAGGAGATCGTACCTTTTTTTTAATCCAAGTTCAATGATTATTAAGAGGTAGTCATTCGTATTCTGGTTGTCTTTGTTTAATAATTTTTCTTCTTTTAGATATTAAAAGTTCATGACTATTAGATACAAGTTTAAAGACTTATTTGTTAAAGTTTCAATTTTAATTTTTATAGCTTGAAAAGGGTTAAATTTAATACCTATGATTGGGTTTATACATTTAGTTTTTATAGCTTAAAAGATATTTCATATAGTGTTTTTAACTTTCCTGAAATCAAGGAACCAAATTTATTTTAAAATTAAAAAAACATATCAAATAGTAAAGGCATAATATGGAGGCTTGGAGGGAGCATATTAATTACACATATTTTAAATATATAAGAAAATTAATAAATAAAATAAATAAAAGATATTTTATTGTTTGTCCACGCAAGCATGAGAGAGGAGAAGAGGCATGAACAAAGGAAGCAAGGCAAATTATCCACAAAAAGACAAAAGGGAGAAAAAGAAAAAAGGAAATCCAACGGTGGAGGAGCGGCCATCCGCGGAGACACGGAGCCGCTAGCACCCAAGTCTTTGGAATCTCATCCCAAAAGAATGAAAAGTGTTTTAGTATGACCACGCGCTCTCGCGTCGCGTGCATTTCACCTCACCCTCAAACTAACCCAACCCTAACCACAGTTAGTTATCCTCCCCCCGCCCCCCTTTCCCGCTTATATATACCCCTCTTTCCGGCTTCCCCCGATTGCTCGCACCCACCTTTCTCATCCCTGATTTCCATGCCACTCACCATTTCCTCCATTTTACCGTCGTCGTACCAAGCATGAGTTGCAACGGTTGCCGCGTTCTTCGAAAGGGCTGCAGCGAGTCCTGTATTCTTCGCCCTTGCTTGCAGTGGATTGAGACCTCCGAGGCCCAAGGCCACGCCACTGTCTTCGTCGCCAAGTTCTTCGGCCGCGCCGGCCTTATGTCTTTCATCTCCGCTGTCCCCGAATCTCAGCGACCTTGTATGTTCCCTTTTCTTCCCCCTTTTTCCTTCTCATTTTCTATCTTTTCTATTTTCATTTTTCTGATGTTTTCTATTTCCTTTCTTTTTCAGCTTTGTTTCAGTCTTTGTTGTTCGAAGCCTGTGGACGCACTGTTAATCCCGTCAACGGCGCCGTTGGACTTCTTTGGACTGGCAACTGGCATGTTTGTCAAGCCGCCGTTGACACCGTCTTACGAGGCGGCACGTTGCGGCCGATCAACGATTTCCTCGCCGCTGGTTCTCCCAATCTGTCCTCCGACGACACTTCCGAGGCTGAAGTCGCCTGTACCGACATGTGGAAGCTACGAGATTCTTATCCCAATTCACGATTCTCCAACTCCCGATCCAGGCTCTCTCCGAAACGCAAGCGATCCGAGGAATCATCCACCAAGAACCAACTGAACGACCTAAATCTCCGGTTGACGCCTACTTTCGTATCCAAATCAACCCCGCGCGCCGCTACACCGTCGATGAATTCCGAGGAATCCGAGACCACTACGTGCTTCGAGAGTGGCCTGGGGGATCACCATCACTACTATCCAGAAGAAGGAACCGCCCAACGGAAGCTTCTCAATTTGTTCGTCTAAGGACCAAATTTTTGTAACACACGTTTGGCTTCGTGTGGTGCTGTGAATCAGAGGTTCACAGCCGCAAAGACAGGCCATATTAGGCGAAAAATTTTGTGGGTTTTACTTAAGAGAAAAAAACCCAGAAGGGAAGTAAGGGAGGTTCAGCCGTGAAAGTGAAGATTCCGGCGAGTTTTGTTGATCGTAATTGTAACATCCATCCCACCGGTACAGGATTTCACTCCTCTGTCGAGGCAGAGAAGTGAGAAATGAGCGTCTATCGGTGGTGGTCCCGTTTTCTCTCTTTCTTTTTTGGTTTTTTTGTAATTTAGGTGTGGTGACTGCGTGACTGAATAAAAAATTAAATAAAATTAAATCCATTTTGGAATTTAAAACATATTGCTTGTGATCCCTTCTCCCTCGAAATCACAACCAAGGATGATGTACTTAATTCATATAGTTCAGTTGGTGCAGCACCCCAACTGAACGACATGTCGTACTACATCTGAGGATATTAGATTATTACTCCAAAGAAAACCCGTAGTTACGAGAAGTCATGGGTTATAATGATATTTGACGTCATAGGAGCAGGCGCGTGGGGGAAATGGGACAGTAATAATAAATATTATTAAAATGGTAAATGGCGAGAAAAAAATGGAGGGCTATCCACAGTCGTTGGTAGGAGAGAGGAGGAGCTCCAAAAGCTTTGGCAGGAAAGAAGGAATGATGAGGAGAGAGAAAGAAGCGGCTTTTGGAGAACGCAAAGAGACGTAAGGGAATGAATGGTGCGAGCGAGCGAGTGAAGGGCAAAGCTAGTGGGGCGTGAGGTTAGCTAAAGTCAAGCTAGTGGGGAGTCGCCGCATTTTTTTTTTTTTTTTTGCACTGGGCCCCACCAGACATTCCTTCCTTTCCTCATACACCGTGGACCCCTCGCCACCTCACCATCCACTCCCCCACCCCCCATAACTATTAAGATAAACAATCAAATCAATAGGCATTGGCATTGGCATCAAATTCCTACCTTTATTTGGCTATTAAAAACCAAATGAAAGGATATGTTAAAGGATGCTTACAAATTTGCATTGAATCCAAATAATTAAATAAAAGGAACAAGAAGCATCCATATATGAGAAGAAAAATAAAAGAGAAATGACGTGGAAAAGAAAGAAAAAAAAAAAAAAAAAAAGGGATAAGAGAAGAGATGGGAAGAAAAAGAAATGAGTGGCCAGCAAAATTATTCGGAAGTGGGAAAGATGTGACGCGGATATCACCACCGGCTGTGGTGTTTAATTATTTGTTATTATTATTATTAATTGAAAAAGATATTTTGAGTTGCGAGCCTGTGCGGTGATTGGTCTGTGACGGTGGCTTTAGCCTCTCCCACTGAATTTGGACAATGACGACAAACTCCAAGCTTCCTGGTGCAGCGACGCAGCCATGTCCATGTCCATCTCCAACTCCAGCCCCACATTTTGTTTCTTTATTTATTTAAATTTGTTCAAAATAATCAGCCAATTTAATTGACCACCAGACCCCTTCTTCTTAGGTCGAAATTCTGACTCAGCATTTCCATTACTTTAATACTTAATTCCATTACGACACCTGTCCTTCCTTAAAAGGAATGGGATGGCTAGAATAATAATAATTTATTTTCAACACAGACCTGAAATGCATTTCCTTCTAATTCTAACTTTATCCTTATCTTCCTAATTTCTCTCTTTTCTTTGTAATATTTATATTTTTTAAACAAAATTGCTTCTTAAACATCATTCATTTGGAATTAATTAATGAAGTAATCAAT